TATATATATATATATATTAAGGCGGCTTGATTTCCTTCTACCCTTTCCTTTTTAAATTATGGAAAGATATATGATACAAAAAGGAAAACCTAAAGTTTTGGGCTGGGATTGGGCTTGGTTACATGATGACTAACGTTGGGTTGAAATTGCGCCCAAGCCATTCCGAGGTCTTCTCTTCTCTCAAGTTACAACAAGGTCAGTAAAAACCCTAACGTGCTAACTAAAACCTCACAGTCGAAGACGAAGAAGAGGAAGAAGAACCGCCATCGCGACTAAGCGCTTAGTGGTTATCTTACGCTCTACCTTTTCTGTTGCTTCTCCTCTTTCATCCAGCCCTACCCTGAAATTTTGATCTCTTCAAGTTTCTTTTAATCATCAATACACTTCATTTTTGGACACTAGTCCTGTAAATTACCTGTATTTTCCGTTCCTGATTTCGCTGTTTACTTGCATTCAGGAAGCTCAGAAATTTTGATTCATGGCTCGATTCCGCAATGTAAGTGAACCCCACTTGCGTTTTTTTCCGCATTAATGTTGAGGAATTGTTACTGCATTTTTCTTGGTAAATTAGGTTTTTGTAATTGCTTGTGGCGCTGTGCAATAAATTGATGTTATCTGAATGAAAAACAGAGGAAGAAGAAGGTGTTTGTGAAGCCGGTTGTGAAGAAGCAGCAGCCCAACGTGGATCATGTCACTGGTGATAAAATCCCAAAGAGTTTCGTGTTTTCAAGAGGGAAGTTGCCCGGTCCTCTCCAGCAGCTTCAGATGGATTTGAGAAAGTTGATGCTACCTTACACTGCTCTTAAACTTAAGGTAATTTTTCTCGCAATTAGCTACAAATTTTAAGCACCCAACAGCTACCCTTGTGATTTATTTTTTTTTTTTTTTGGGGGGGGGGGGGGGGGTGGGGGAGGTTGTGTGCTACGATTGATTATGAATTAAATGGGAATTAGGAGCTTTAGGATGATATTTTGAAGAATTTAGTTATCATCTATCACTAGGATAGCATAAATTGGAAAAGTTAAACAAGAATATGCCAATTAAGGGCAGTCTCCCCCTGTCTCCTTTTTATTTTGTTCGAGGTCTTCTCTTCTTTAAGGTTATTGTATAAACAGTTCAACGTGTATTCCATAAAGAATGTGTTTTAGAAACTTGATGGTCTGAAACAAACTATGTTACTTACAAATTATAGTGCAATTGAGGGCTCAAATCGTACTAAACCACCTTCTTTTAATCTATTTTTCTTATTCTATAATTTTTATTTGACTTATTCTTTATTTCTTTTTACTTTATGGTTGCAGGAGAAGAAGCGGAATAATCTTAAAGACTTCTTAAATGTTGCAGGACCAATGGGTGTAACACACTTCCTCATATTGTCCAAAACTGATACTGCACCTTACTTGAGGGTTGCAAAGACCCCACAAGGCCCTACTCTTACGTTTAAAATACATCAATATTCACTGGCAGTTGATATTGCACAGTCTCAGTTGCATCCTAGATGTCCCCAAGATCTTTTCAAAAATGCCCCTTTGGTAATTCTATCTCTGTCAAAACAGACAAATAAGTTTGTTTTCCTGATTATTGCTAGGACTTGCATTAGCAAGAGGACCCTCCTTGCTTTGCATTTTTCTTTTCATCTTTATTCTTCTCTCTGAAAGCCAAATGACAGCTATCCATTTAGCATTTTACCTCAAAAGTTGGTTGAAGTTTCTACCAAGAATTTTAGAAAGAAAACAAAAGAGCTTGTATCGGGTGTTTTGACATGCTCCATTAGAGAGTTATGCTATTCACGCCTTGTGATGAAAGAGTTCCATACTCCAATAAGCCTGCCAGATCATATATTTTTTTCCTCATGTCTTTCTATATTGTTCTTCAAAGCACAAAAGAGTGCATTTGAAGTGATACATGAGGATTAAGTTACTGAGACAATGATAACTTGTCAGTGCTGAACGATTCATAACTTGTTCTATTGCCTCCCTATCTACCAAGAATTCTGAGCTCCTGCAAACATATTAGTGATTATCCTCATCTTTTGTGGTTCTTAAAAAATGAATTGAAGCCTTCAATTTGAGCACTGAACATTCTATTTGGGAGGTTGAAGTTTTTGTTCTCTTGCTTCTAACATATGATATCTTGCTAATTTTTATTTTGGAATACATCCTTGGCAGATTGTTATGTCTGGTTTTGGGAATGGAGGTGAACATTTAAAGCTCACAACCACCATGTTTAAGAACATTTTTCCAGCCATTGATATTAATACTGTGAGTGGTTAAACAATAACCTTTTAAGCGTCCTGTCCATTGTGTCTTTTTTGCAAGCTTACTGTTGTCTTAATGTGAATGTTTCAGGTCAAACTTTCTTCTTGCCAGAGAATTGTTTTGCTTAATTACAATGAAGAAACAAAGCTTATTGATTTTCGGCATTATTCCATCAGACTACAGCCTGTAGGTGTCTCTAGAAGAATTAGAAAATTTGTGCAGAACCATCAAGTACCTGATCTTAGGAATCTTCAAGATGTGAGTGACTTTGTGACCAAGTAAGTATTTTTCCTCAGAGAAAAGGGCAATCCAATCCTATTTTTGCAATACAATCATCTTTTGGGTGGAGTACTTGTATACTATTTGTTTTCTTTTCCATAATTCTTTTGTGTGTTTTTTGAAGGGCTGGTTATGGATCAGAAAGTGAAGGAGATGATGAAGCAGCAACAGTTACTTTGGTCAGTGATCTTGGTAGAGTCAATCGAGCTTCTACCAAAAGTGCTGTCAAGCTTCAGGAGATTGGACCTAGAATGACTCTTCAGCTCATAAAAATTGAGGGGGGATTATGCTCTGGTGAAGTTATGTTTAATGAGTATGGTATGTGTATCTCATCTAGCATTTTTATATTTTGGGGGAAGGGCATCTACACTGCTCTAGGATGGGAAAAATAATCTCTCTTGCTAAGTTGTTGTCTTGTCTGATTTCCTTATCTTCAATAATAACTTTTTGGCATTCCCCAGCCCCACCCTTCCTGTTTTCTGATTGTCAAATTTTGATCGTCATCTTGGTCTCCCACTTTTGTTATCTGAACTTCTAATAATGGGAAAGAACGAGAAAAAGGAAAAGGAAACGTAATTTACCTCCCAACTTTTCTCCCTCTTTCGTGGCATATATCGGACTCACATTTTAATTTCCCATGCACATCAGGAGATGGTGGCAACAAGAAGAGGCAGGATGTGAAAGATCTTAAAGAACACAAGGAAGATGAAGAGGACAGTGATGAAAATATGGAACAAGGTGACGAAGATAGCAATGAAAATGAAGCAGATAGCGATGAAAATGAGGAAGAAGATAGTGATGAAAATGAGGAAGAAGATAGTGATGAAAATGATGAAGAGGATTAATAATGAAGCACAAGCATGGTTTTTGCATGCAATCAAGCAATGAAATGGCTTTAAGGGTTTTCTTCTTCTGATAGAGGTGGTCTCATTCAAGAATCTTGTGCATCTATTCTTCCCTTTGTTTTTCCTAATGTTGTGAAAGATGCATAGATTGGGTTGAGTAAGGATTCAAAAGTTGGGTAACTGTTGTGTTATTCTTGTTTTTTCAATTAACTTATAGGAAGAAACTCTGTAATCAAAGTATAACAGAAGAAATTCATGAATTAATCCACTTCCAAAATATCTCAATCTCATTGCAAATACATTCATACACGCAGTAGGACTCATAGCATCCATGGTAAACAGAGGAAAATGATTGTTGTACCATGGTCTTAAAGTCCCTCCCTTGCTCATACAGATTTCCGAAGCATCTCTTCGGAAGGAACCTCCAGCGTTGCTCCTGCATGCGCCTTATCTGGCTTCACCTCTGCGTGCAATATGAACAAATGCAATCAAACGGTAAGCTTGCGCAACTGTTGTGAATCTTCTTGAAATGAAAAGATGCATCTCAAGTTAAACTATATAAAGTTAATCTTATAAAAATGCCATTTCATATCTTTAAGAAGAAATACCGTAATTGAGGCATTTTGACGAACACATGGCATGCAACAAAAGAACAGGAAAGAAGGCATCCGAATCGGCCACCACGTAGCAGTTAAATTCAAAGATAATAGTGAAGAAAGACGTAATACCGTAGCCACCACGGTCGTTGAGCTTGGCTTGAACGATCATGGTGGAGATGAAATGGGAAGCCTCTCGTGCCTCCTCGAGGTGTCTCTGGATCTCGGATTCGGAGGTGACATGACGATTCTCCTCGAATTTCTTACGGATCTCGGCGGCGGAGGCATTCAACATCATCGTGTCGCCGACGAATGATTTCCGGGTGGCTCTTAGGAGAGCCCTGTATGCGCTCAGCGCTTCTCCTCCGACCATCTCTGTCTCTCTCACTCTCCTCCGCTCAGAATACTCTCGTTTCCTTTTGGAGAATCAACGAAGAAACCGATCTCGAAGATCCGTTCAATTTCAATCGGGTCCAACTCCAAGCATCTAATCTTTGAAGTTAGGTCCCTAATCTTTAAATTTGTTTCAATTATATCCTAATGTATATAATTTTTACCGGACTGGAACCTTTTACAAGTCCAGATTTTACAGATTTCTTGTTGAGTTGGTTGATTTTGGTTGGATGTTGGATGGAAAGTATGAATCTATGATACCAAGGAATTTAGTTTCTCCTTTAATCCATAGTTTTGAAAATTTGAAGTTGCTTCCTACAATATCAAATTAGAGGCTCTAATTATAATTGTTTATAATCTTCAGAAAGGATTCATGCCAAGTTGATCAACACGACTGGTATATTTTGAGAAAGAAACTTGAACTTCAATTCTACATTTTACATTCTTTTCCTGCAATAAACTTGTAAGAACACAATACATATTCAAAATCCTTTTATGCTCAACTCTTAGATGCTGCATAAGAAGTACTTCTGCAGAGACAAAATGGTAAATTTTTCTGACTGCACAGGGTGTACACAGTTACAGACTTACAGTAATCACCAGTAAGTGGCAATTCTTGAAGCCAGCAATCACAAACTGGAACCAAGAAACTCTTCCTTATTTCAAAAAATAAAGTTATTTCAGTGTATCTACCATTTGATAATCATGCTTCTTGCGGCGGCACCTATGATGGGTTTTCTGATCAGGGAATTTGTTCTCCCCAGCAATCTCCATTTTAGATTATGTATCTGGTGCAAGGAAACCGAATCAGCTTAAGAAGAACAATCATTATATGGATAAGACAAGCAGACAAAAGGAAACTAGTATGATTATTTCAAATTGTTATCATTTTCACATGGTTCCATGCCTAAATCCTAATTGTTCTTTACCAATTCATTTCCCCCCAATAAACATAGCATTTAAGAACCACTACAAGATTCTCTGAATAAAGATGAGAAGTCCATAGATCCAGCAGGGAAACAGAGGACAAAGAAATGTAACAGATCTGCTCTAATATTTATCAGGGAAAATCTCATTACATATGACACATTCTTGTTCTGGACAAAATGTGAACAGAAAGTAAAGTTTACCAAAGCAAAAAAGAACCAAAATGTGATAACGCAAACTCAAATATTGACTGAATCTGTCTGCCAACTACATTGAAATGAAGTTTGATCTTCATTCCTCCTACTAAAACCACAATCTCTTAAAATGCCTATTACAAAACCGCTACCAGGGAATATTTTACCTACTATAGGACGATGCTAAAGCCTAAACATTATGGCATTCTCTCCCTCAAGTCCACTAAAAAGTACAATCCTATCTCGATGATGCCCCAACCAACCACATTTTTCAAATCATCTATATAGCATTTAAATTTAAGTCTTTTGAATAATTTCTTAAAATGAATCTTTCACCATTTGTACCAAATTACCATATATTAGAGTACCACTTACGCCTCTTATAAATGAAACATAGCAAGGTTACTAGATAATTATTGCACTCGAAATTGAGCTGCCTCAGCCACACTACCAAAATCGTGCAACTGTTTATGGAGCTACCAGAAATAATGCAACTCGGCAAAACTAAACAAACCTGCATCATTTACCTCCTAATGCCCATTCAGACAAAAGCCAACATGCTTCCACCATTAAACTTCCACAACAGTTTTCCATTATATCATATATCTAAAATCAAACTAAGAAAAGCATCAATAACCCACATTCTTGATCGTAACGTGTTTCCACTAATTTTGCTACATATTCTTTTCCTCAGATGCTGTACTTCAGTAAATTACTAATCAAGCTCATGATCCCTGCCTCTTAACTTTCTTGAAACCAGATGTAAAACAAAAAAGAGAAGCAGACTTAATTGGCATTGAATCTGCTATATATGCCAGTTACATTAAATCATCATACTGTTACCAAATTCTTACTTATAAACCATCAGGAGCAAACAAGCAGTATCTCAAACACTTATACTACAGACTGCACTGCCTTATGAAAATAAAATCTAAAGGAAAAACAGCAAAAAGTTCTAGAGGACTCCCTGTAACCAAACGACCCAAGTCACCCATTTATCATT